ATGAAATACTATGCAGCCATTAAAAAGAATGAGTTCATGTCCTTTGTAGGGACATAGATGCAGCTGGAAACCATCATTCTCAGCAAACTATCGCAGGAACAGAAAACCAAACACCGCATGTTCTCACTCATAGGTGGGAACTGAACAATGAGATCACTTGGACACAGAAGGGGAACAGGAAGGGGGAGGGGGGAAGGAGGAGGGATAGCATTAGGAGATATACCTAATGTAAATGACAAGTTAATGGGTGCAATACACCAACATGACACATGTATACATACGTAACAAACCTGCAAGTTGTGCACATGTACCCTAGAACTTAAAGTATAATAATAATAAAATGCCAGGATGCCCTTTTTCTTTTAACTAGGAAAAACACTATCTTCTTGATTAGCAATTTAAATACATTTTGTTTAAATCTGATGCTACTAGACTAACAAAAGGTTGTGAAGTTGAGATACTCCAGACAAACTTTATTACACAAATAAGTGTCAGGAGAAGCAGCTATCATTTACTTTGGAAATATTTTTCTCCTGGAACAGATTCTTTTGGTGGGGTGTAAACGATATGCTATTTTTGACCAGAAAAGGAGTATAAAACAAAAACACCAAGAACCATTGTAAGTCAAGAACGAAGGTAAATTCTATAGCAAAAGCCACATTCACACTATCACGAATTCTGAACTGCTACTATCCAAATTAAAAATTTTGCTTAGTTACATCTCCCCAAATCAAACTAATACCAAGGATTTTTTATCGTAATGACTGGTAACTGCTCAGACTAATGTCCTACAACAACAGGTCACCAAAAGTTACAATCTGCCAAAAGTACGTAAGAGTTCCACTTTTCTGTCAAATTGAGTTTATCCTGAAACATAAGTCTTGGAATGTTATGATCACCATATGTGTATAATCTGGAAATATAATTGAATCTTATAGAGTAACTCTCATTATATAAACAACAAAAGAAAACTTTGGAATTAAAATATAGATTTTTTTAAACTAATTTGAGGAGATTATTCATAAAAAAGATTTTTAAAAATCTTTTAAAACAAATTTCATTTAAGTGGAAAGAGGTTTCTAATTTGTAGAAAATGGATGCTGCAGCTGATCAGGTTAGCTGTTAACATGAACAAGTAACCCTCAGTTGATTATCTGCCTTATTTTTCTACTTATTAACATACTCTACAATTAAAAATTATCAAGTATTTGTTTTTTAAAGGAGAATTCATTGTCACTCCCTAGGCCATGTTAATTAAGACTGTTAAAATGCCTTGCAGTTACATTACTGAGACTAGCTAATAAAGTTTGGCAAAGTATTTCTTATATAGAACTTTTCATTGAATAGAACTTAATATAACTTGGCTGGGCGTGGTGGCTCATGTCTTTGGGCGCCACTTTCGGAGGTCAAGGCAGGTGGATCACTAGAGGTCAGGAGGTTGAGACTATTCTGGGCAACATGGTGAAACCCCATCTCTACTAAAAATACAAAAATTAGCTGGGCGTGGTGGCTTGCACCTGTAATCCCAGCTACTCGGGAGGCTGAGGCATGAGAATTGCTTGAACCTGGGAGGCAAAGGTTGCAGTGAGCTGAGATCCTGCCACTGCACTCCAGCCTGGGTGACAGAGCAAGACTCCGCCTCAAAAAAAAAAAAAAAAACTTAATATACCCAAATAAGGAAAAGAATGATACTAGAGAACAATTACTGAACATGTAAAGGGATCTTTCTATATAAAATAGGACATTATAATCATGTTTCCTAAATAAGAATTCTCCCACTATTTTCTACAAGGCTGTGAAATTAGATGTATTAAAACAAACCCAAAATAAAAATTTTTTGTTTTCACCAGTTTTTCCTAATTATAAAGTTTCTATGGAGAGTACACAGAAATTCCAATGAAGAAAAAAGCTGTTCTATGAAAAAGTTACATTTCATTTACAAAAACACTTATGTATACATAAGGAACTCACTACTACTTTGTTTAAATTTATTGTGCAGCCTCAACAGAAAGTCAATTTCTGTCTTGACAGGTAAGAATTTTTTTTTTGTTTTTTTTTTTTTTGAGATGGAGTCTTGCACCCAGGCTGGAGTGCAGTTGTGCGATTTTGGCTCACTGCAACCTCCACCTCCCAGGTTCAAGCGATTCTCCTACCTCAGCCTCCCGAGTAGCTAGGACTACAGACGTGTGCCACCATACCCAGCTACTTTTTGTATTTTTTTTAGTAGAAACAGGGTTTCACTATGTTGGCCAGGCTGGTCTCAAACTCCTGACCTCAACTGATCTGCCTGCTTCGGCCTCCCAAAGTGCTGGGAATACAGGCATGAGCCACCACACCCAGACTAGAATTTTTTCAAATAAGCAATTGTTAACAAAAAATTCTACACATCAAATCTCAAAATTTTCTTCTGAGGAGAGACATATGATTCAAAATTGTAATACATATTCATACAACTTATTGCGAATGACCATATAAAGAGTTTACATTAATTATCACAGAGGAGTACATTTGTCAGGTTAATGATCCATGTTCTTCTTAAAAGTTATTTATAAAACATTATTTCTCCACACAGAAAAAAAAGCGTAATAAACAATGAGTTGATTACTCACTGTACAGTCCAGTGAGCCACTCAAGGGCCCCATGGGCACCAGAGACAAAGGTAGCAGATTGATTAACAGCTGAGGAACTCAAGATACGTTTAGTAAGAGAAATTCTGTGGTCACTTAGGAATTTTGTAGTTCAGTATTCATAATATTAAGGTTTTTTTCAGCTGGATGTGATTTGAGGGAAAGAGAAAGCAATTAGTGAGGAAATGCATGAAAATACCTAAAAGGAACATTTAAAATGAGATTCATTAACTAATTCCTAGGAATGTGAGCAACTGTCACTTTCAAACTTGGCAGAACCATGCTCAGTCCCCATTACTCTGAAACTTTCAAACACAGAAGCAAGGTTAACCTTTCATTTTATTTCCTATACTTTCACAGAATTCTTCATGCACATGAACTAGTATGCAGAAAGAGTTAACATAGCAGGGAGCTGACTGCCATCCTTTGAAAGGCCTGGTTACAAAAGTGTCCCTTGGCTGGCATCTGGGAATTTGGATTTGGGGAGGGTTCTCACTATCCTAACTGGTAGTGTGCCTAAACTGATTATACAAACAATGCAGTTTATGCTGAACACCTGACCTGCTTTTCTTCAGAGAATCTAAAATTTTAGTATATGCCAGACAGAGGGTACCTAAGTGTCCAGCTCCCAGTAAAAACCCTAGGCACTGAGCCTCTAATGAGTTTCACTGGTTGGCAACATTTCACGTGTGCTGTCATAACTCACTGGGGGAATGAAGTGCATCTTGTGTGACTTCAGTAAAAGAAGAACTTTGGAGGCTTGCACCTGGTTTTCCTTTACGCTTTGCCCAATACACATTTACCCTTTGCAAATTTTGCTTTGCATCCGTTCACAGTAATACACAAGAGCCATGCCTAGGACTATATGGTGAGGCCTGTGAGCCCCTCTAGCAAATCAGCAAATCTGGGAGTGGTTCCAAGACTCCCAACATGTAAGTTATCAACTTATTGCCAAATTCACCCTTTTTTACCTGCTCTGTGAAAAATGTATCTGGCCCTTTAATATTCTCCCACCAGTTGGCACAACGGTAAGCTTTGTTGGTAAAAAGTGTGGAGAGGCCGGGTGTGGTGGCTCAAGTCTGTAATCCCAGCCCTTTGGGAGGCCGAGGCCAGAGGATCGCTTGAGCCCAGGAGTTCCCAACCAGCCTGGGCAACAACATGGCAAAATCCTGTCTCTACAAAAAAGACAAAAAATTAGCCAGGTGTGGTGGCACGTACTGCAATCCCAGCTACTGGTGTGCAGGTGAGGGGCTGCTGAGGTGGGAAGATCACCAGAGCCTGGGAGGTCAAGGTTGCAGTGAGCCATGATGGTGCTACTGCACTCCAACCTGAGTAACACAGTGACACACTGTCTCAGAAAAAAAGTGCTAGAGGCCAGGTGTGGTGGCTCACACCTGTAATCCCAGCACTTTGGGAGGCTGAGGCGGGTGGATTGCTTGAGGTCAGGAGTTCGAGCCTGGCCAACATGGTGAAACCCTGTCTCTACTAAAAATACAAAAAGTAGCCAGTTGGGGTGGCAGGCGCCTGTAATCCCAGCTTCTCAGGAAGCTGAGGCACGAGAATCACTTAAACCCAGAAGGTGGAGGTTGCAGTGAGCTGAGATCACGCCACTTCACTCCAGCCTGGGTTACAAAGTAAGACTCTGTCAAAAAAAAACAAAAAGTGCTGGAGAGACACTGTAGGAAGAAAGGGTTTTGCTTCCTGATTCCAGTGTGCTTAGGGCTTCTCTAAAACCAAGCTCCTGAAACGCATGGCAGCTAGCAGCATCCAAGAGTCAGTAGCTTCCCCAAGGCCCCTTACCCTACTACATGGTTTTGTAATGGAGTACCTCTGATGAGATACTTCCCCATGAGGCTTTCTCTGGCACCCCAGCACCCCAAATGGCAAAACTATAGCCAGTTCCAGAAAACAAATTTACAAGAAGTTCCCTGGCAAGGCACTACAGTGACTTTTCTGCCATCCCGAGAAGCACAGCTGTGCCCTCTTCAATAAGGTATAGAACTCAGCCCAGTGAGGGGAACTCTTCCTTGGATACTCTTACTCCTAGGGGCAGTGGCTATTATGTAGTACATTACATAATATTAAAACTGTTATGATATTATATATCTGCTATTCTTTTCAGTTCTCCTTACTTAATAATTCTATATTAAACTTTCCCTATTAAAATTACTGTATGACTTATCCCTATCCAGACTAATACAGAATCTTTTTTTTTTTTTTTTGAGTCTCGCTCTGTTGCCCAGGCTGGAGTGCAGTGGCACAATCTCGGCTCACTGCAAGCTCTGCCTCCCGGGTTCATGCCATTCTCCTGCCTCAGCCTCCCAAATAGCTGGGACTACAGGCGCCCGTCACCACGTCCAGATAATTTTTTGTATTTTTAGTAGAGACAAGGTTTCACCGTGGTCTCGATCTCCTGACCTCATGATTCCCCCACCTCGGCCTCCCAAAGTGCTGGGATTACAGGTGTGAGCCACCGCGCCTGCCCAATACAGAATAATTCTTAACAAGTAATACTAAAATCACTACAAACCTGAAGAGATGCTCCCCCATACTATTGCAAATCACTTCATCATCAGGAAACAGTTCCAAGGCCTGCTCATAGCAACCAAGTAAGTCTTGTATCCGATTGAGAGCATCAAGCTCTTCAGCCCATCTGAAAAGTGTGTACTGAAAAGTTTCCTTTACAAATAAGAAAAAAATATGAATTAGTCAATAACATTACAGATGAAAGAATATACAACATTAGTTGAAGACTCCAAGCAACAGAACTTAATTACTATTGAACGATCACCTTCAATTTCATTTAGCTTTAGTAGGCACTGTTTTCTGAACAAGTGCACAAATGAATGAATTTTACCACCTACATGGCCATAATAAGCAGAATCAGTCTGACCACTCTCTAAACTCCCTCCATTCTTAGATGCTGTATCACACTCTCCTTATTCTCCAGCTGCCTCATTTTTGTGGGTTCCTGTGTTTTTAGAGTTTGTCCTTGGCTCTCTTCTTTTTTCTCTTATCCATCCCTAATGCATTTATTATCACCCATGTGTTGATGGATGCTACGTTTACATCTCTAGTCAAGACTTTCTCTTCTGAACCTCAGACTCATAGATACAACTTCCTAATAGTCATTTCAACCAGGCAATGGATCTCCAGCCATTGCGAATGTAGTACAACTAAAATATTTCCTGAACAATCCTTGTGCAAAGAACTGAGGCAACATAAATCTTGTTCTTATCCTCACAGAGGCCCTATAGAGAGAAATTTAACATAAAATTTTGGAAAAGTTCAAAATGTTCTAAACTGAACTCATCATATTCCTCTGATACAAGACATAAGATTAAGATACCACTCAACCTCAAACCATAAAATCACCTTATAATGGTACCTTAACTCCACATACACTGTTTCAAACCTAGCCAATGCTCTCTCAATATCTTTAAATCTGTTACCTCCTCTCCATCCCACAGTTACAACCTAATCTGGCCCTTCTAACCATTTGCTGGACTACAGCAACAGCCTTAACGCTGTCACTCTAGTTCCAATCGCATCTCCCTCCAGCCATTCTCCATGCTGCAACACTGTGAAAAGACGGAAAGCTGTAGTCATTACAGCATTACCATTAAAACATTTTAAATCATCTTCACATATTTTATACAAAAGAGTTGATACTTGGAACTGAATCTTGAGGGAGTTTACTAGAGAGACAAGGATAAGAAAGGAGATTCTGGCTGGGCACGGTGGCTCATGCCTGTAATCCCAGCACTTTGGGAGGCCAAGGCGGGCAGATCACCTGAGGTCAGGAGCTCGAGACCAGCCTGGCCAATATGGTCTAAAATATATCAAATATAAAAATTAGCCAAAGATGGTGGCAAACATCTATAATCCCTGCTACTCAGGAGGCTGAGGCTGGAGAATCACTTGAACCTGGGAGGTGGAGGTTGCAGTGAACGGAGATCGCACCACTGCATTCCAGCCTGAGCGGTAGAGTGAGGCTCTGTTCAAAAAAAAAAAAAAAAAAAAACCCACACAGCTTATATGAAATGGATCAGAGGGTCTACAGATAAGTGGTTTGGTGTGGCTGGAGTTTGGGTATTGAGAATAGAGTAGCGGGAAATGAGATTTCTACAAGGGGCCCATACAAAGAAATACAATTTGTTCGGCAGGAAACAGAACTAGTTGCTTACCCTACTGAATTTCAGGCATCGCCCTACAAATTTTACATATACTTTTTTTTTTTCTTTTTGAGATGGAGTCACACTCTGTCACCCAGGCTGTATTACAGTGGCGCGATCTTGGCTCATTGCAATCTCTGCCTCCTGGGTTCAAGCGATTCTTCTGCATCAGCCTCCCGAGTAGCTGAGACTATAGGTGCATGCCACCACGCCAGACTAATTTTTTGATTTTTAGTAGAGAC